GCTCCGGCAGTAAAGCTGATACGCATTTGAAAAAAAAAAAGAAAATACTGGGACGGTGAAGATTAAATCAGTATGGCGTTACAGCTCCCCAACAAGCCTCTTCAGCTTATTACAGACTAATTTCCGGAATGGCGGTATCCGCTTCCCACAGTTAAAAAGTTCGAAAACAGATCATTCCCATCATAATATCTCCAGACGAAAGGGGAGAGCCTTCCAAGATAAGATAAAGCGTGTGTACCATAACCCCCCCCCCCCCCCCCTAAAAAAAAAAAAATTAAAAATCCGACACAACTTAGACCATGTAGAAGGTGGACTCCCAACCATGCCTGTCTGTCTGGGCTAACCCGAGCTGAGAGGCACACCAATAATCGAAATTATTATACAGTCAGAATTGTCCAAGTCTAGACAGACACCCACTGTCGAGAAAAAAGTTATGGTCTTAAGACAGACGGACTTCCTGAACAGTATCATTGTAATTTTGTTTTTAACGCAAGGGGGCAAATGGGAAGTAACTGTTTGTACAGGTGACTGGCTTTTTTTTTGGCCAACAGGTTAAATAGGTAGAGACCTTATTCTTATTATTAGAATTGCTAAGTTTCATCTGCTCAGTACCCAGTTTTGAGAAATTTGACGTAAACAAACCTTACGTTTCACCTGTCAAGCCTTTTCGAAAGCAATTATTTAAATATCTTGATAACAATTCCGAATACTCTTATGATTTTGAGAGAGCAGATTTGGTGTCTGGCCTCATGGTCTCAGTAACTCAAAACTGCAAAAAATGTCAGATAGAACTTTGTAATTCTAAAGTGGCGAAAAGGGAGCGGAGTTATTGGGGAGTTTGTAATGCTGAAGACTTAGATGGAAATAAATTGGCTGCATTCGACGTTCGAAGAAATGGCCTTCTGCATAATACTAACTACCCAAATACCCAGAGGCTAAATCTGTTTATCAAATGTTGTGTGTAACCTCCGGGGTCTTGATTCTCGACATACATACCACAGGCAAAACACTATCAGACTGCTGGCAAAGCACTCCCACATCGTCAAACATCGCGTCTGTAGATGCACTCAGGAACAATAAATGCGCCCCCTCTCCCTCTATTTTTTTTACCTCCCTCTCTCACCCACTCTTTCTCACC